ATATTTTCAGGAACCTTGTAGATATTCTTAAAGCCCCAGGCGGGAGAAAAAATACATGGGGAGCCCAAGGTGCCCCATGACTGTCCACGCCCAACTCGAAAGTAAGAACCATGACGCTGCTTGCGTGCTTTGCAAAGCTGTCACGGCTGATCTGTTGCGCCATGCCTCTGAGAACACCTGGGGCAGGAGGTCTCTTTTGTGATTGCAATTCGGAGCATCTCTACTGCTTCGATAAACCTGACATAACCTGACAATTCCTTAGGCCCTGCTAGGCTCACTTGCTTCTGGAATCTTTTTGCTTGGGCTGCCAGCAAGGAACTGAGTCGCGTTGATGCCAGCTTGCACTTGAGGCCCAAGTCTCTGGTCACACCCTTCACTCGCTGTAGCTTCTTGGAGTTCATCTCGCTGACTGCTTGGACTGTTGAAGTCCCTGTCTCCAGCGAGGTGAAAGATTCTGAAACCCGGGCTCTTGCAGCGGCCAGCCTGGTCTCCAAGCACTGGTACTTGTGAATGCGAATTCTGCTTCTTTGCAGGGTTGTGCGCAGTTCCCATAACTCAGCAACCTGCTTTGTATTGGATTCACGCAACTTGTCTGCCGCAGATCGAGGGAGCAACATCACAGCTTCCTGGCGGTCAGTCTTTGGATAGGTCAAAACACCCCGGGACGGCACAGGGGCAGCGGTGCATACATCTGGACGGTGGTCCAAACTTCCGAATATCTTCCAACTGTCAAGGCAGGCTGGGTCCACAGGTTGCGATGCTTGCAGCGGGAACTCGTCCAAGTGTTCTGGTGAGATCGTGCCGACGGGCTCGGAGGGCACATTCACCTCCAGCCTGTCATAATGTCGCAAGTCATACTAATTAGATAATACTAGGGTTATATTGGGGTCCTATGGGGATAATGGAAAAGAACATGGAAACTACCATAATACATAATAGGGGTTATAATATAGGGGTTATATATTGTTGTGTATACTGCCCTCATCACAAGCAGCCTATAGCTCGACGAGAACTCTAGTGCAGCTTGGTGACAGCTGCCGACATCGAGTGTCATCTGCCTCAGTGTCGCTGCTGTCTCTAGTCTTTTTCAAAATGGTAGTTTCCCAAAATGGGGGACCCTAATGTAGACTCCAAAATATAATGACCCTTATTCTTGGGACAGCCAAAAAGGGTACCCATGTTTTAGGAAACCCCCAAATATCTGAGGTCATTGAGCATCTTGCCAAGGTGCCTGCTGTTGCGAGGCGGATGCTTGTGCCTTTTTTCTAGGGCGCGGTCTTGGCTTCAGTGGGTGGACACCTTTCGTGATCTGATGAGGAAAAGGCAAGAGAACCTAAACCCAAAATGCAGTAGCTTCCTTGTTCTTCTTCATTATCCCTATATAACCCCCAATACCCTACACTCTAAACCCTAAACCCTAAACCCTAAAGAGTTTTTTGCTAGCTCGGAAGCCTCCGATTGGGTTGACTTGCCCTGCAGAAGCCATGGCATCCCACTGGTCCAAACCTATGGCTGCCTATATGGAAGTTTCCCAAAATTAGGGGTACCATTTAGGGGGTCCCTATAATAAGGACTATAGTATATTTGGGTCTATATTGGGCTACCCCTAATTTTGGGAAACTACCACATAAGGAACAGAACTATTCAATATTTACTATTACTATTCCTATTGTTAGGGTTTTAGGGTTTGTTCTTACTATTATTCTTACTACTATTCTTACTACTACGAATATCTTCAGACTTGACAAGCAATCACGCGGTGTGCTTTGGAACCATGGCTGCAGTTACTCGTTGCCATTTAGGGGTTGCCCTCCTTTTCAGGGCCTGAACATTAGGATCCCCATTATAATCCCTATTCAGGGAAGGAGGTTTATGAATCAGGGGTCCGGGTTAGTCCATCAACGGCAGTAAGCAAAGCCATTTCCCTCCCGCTTTGGAAGCAGCGAGCAGTCCTCTTCGGAGTCACTCTGGTGAATGATGCCTGGTGTACAAGCAGGTCCACCCTCATAACTATTAGGGTATATTGGGATTATGTCGGGAATGATGGATAAGAACATGGAAACTACTACATTTACGGTTTGGGTTCTCTTGTGCTTAATGTTTTTTTACAGGTCCTTGCAAGCTACAAACTTTCCAACAGTCCGGCACCAGCAGGTGTAGATCGAATTGAACTGATCGGATTTGAGGTTGTTTTGCTACATCGCATGAAGTAGCATGAGGACCTACGTAGACCACTGCTCAAAACAATGGCCCAAACGTCCAAAGTTATGGACGAAAAGCTGCAAAAATCTGGGTCTGAAGGCTGGCATGATGGCCTTTGCAAGGTTGGTCTACCTCCAGGCAGTCATGCCCCCAACAGATCTCAGCCGGGCGAGGCTTTTGCTAGAAGGGAGCTTAAGGGGGCTCAGGGGAAAAGAGGGGTTAGTATGAAAATCTCACGCCCTCTTTGATTGATGTCGTAAAGCAAAAAAGAGTGGGAAGGGAGAGCATATTGCAAAGCACCAGTGCAATCATCACTGTCTACAAGACTAACTACACAGGGATATTTATGGGGTATAACCTGGTTATGAGTTGAGTGTTTTGCTACCTAGGTTCTCATGACAGCCATGGCAGTGTGTGTGTGGATGCACGTAACCACCGTGCCTGGTGTTGAAAGCAAAAATACCTAATTTGGCATCAAGTACGCATCTTCTCTTCGGCATCGAGCTGGCAAGTTCAGTCGCTGAGGTCCTCTTCATCAAGCTGTCCCCGAAGACCCCGCAGAAATCCCGGCATGTCTATTCGGATTGCCAGGCCATTGGGATATTGCTCCGCCCGGTCCCTCACTGCTTCCCGATGCTGGCCCAGCAAACGCAGCGCTTCACGGCAGCCAGAGTCGTGTTTCAACCAGTGCTCAAGCACATCGACTAATGTTGCGGTGACATTGCGACTGTCATCTGACCTTCGGCTTGCGAGTGCATGCAACGCATCGGAATCGCCCCGCAAACACGCCAGAACCCCGATTGCCCACATCCGCGTGGCCTCATGCAGATCATGAGCGAAGTCTCGCAGCAGGCTGATGAGAGTCCGCCGACGTGAATGGAGACTGCGTGGCGCAGCGCTTGCAAGCATCTTTAGCGCGGAAATCCTGTGCCACCGGCGTGCCGGGTCCTCGTTCCTCGGGTACTTAGCTTGAGGCAGCGGGACTCCTTCGCAGCACTGACCAGTTTCGTCATTCCGATAATAGCTCAATCCTTCGTATGCTCTTTTGATCACCTCCACCCATTCAGGAGGAAGATGCAAGCGGGCATCTCGCCTTCTGACTATGCCGAAATCCTCCAGTGTGGCGATGGGACAGCTTGCCACAGTGAGGGTAAAGGGCTTTTTGCCCAAGCGGCAGTCTCGCAGATACTCCGGGCGCTCTTCAAAGGGCTGGCCGTTGATTGAGGTGATCTGCCACGATGCCAGGATCCCGTGCTGTTCCGCTTGGCTGCCAGCCACGACCTTCCCACAACTATATGGAAACAAAAAGTTGGAAACCAAAAGACTGGGTTGCTGTTAAGGAACATAACTTAAATTGCCATACTATCTGAAGCCTATTCATTGTTATAATATGGCTGCTTAAAAATAATTCTGTCCCTTCTAAACCCTAAACCCTAAATTCTGGCCCTTAACAGCAACCCAGAAGACCACAATAAAGCCAAAGACTGCCTTTGAGATGAAGCCGTACTCAGTGACATGCATGCCGATGGACTCAGGTGGGCCTAAGAGGGTTTAGGCTTAGGGTTTAGGGTAAGAGATTCCTACAGTTCCAGGGTTTAGGGTGTAGGGTAAGAGACTCCTACAATTCCAGCGTTTAGGGTTTAGGGTAAGAGATTCCTACAGTTCAAGAGTTTAGGGTAAGAGCTTCCTACAATTCCAGGGTCGGATTTGGGTACACCCACCCATTAACAGTCAAAGTATCATCCAGCTGTTAATGGGTGCGGGCAGTACCCAAGGTAGGATAATCGTAGTCAAGCTTGAGATAAGAAGGTGGGGACATCAGTAAGATGCTGAACCCCTATCTAAATCCTACATTATCCCTATATTGTTTCCCTTAATAGGGACCTCGAAATCGACCGCAGAATGCTTTCATCCTTATTATGGCGACCCCCAAAAAGGACACCTCCAACTTTGAGAAACTCCCATATAATCCCTGAATGCTCCCTGTGTATGACGCCCCAAACTTGCAAACGATGCCTCCGGGAAGGAAGACAAAGCTCCTCTCAGAGCCCATAAGTCTGATCTCGCCTGGGAATTTCGGAGACACCTGAACTCGCTGGGGGTTACAGTTTAGGGTTTAGGGAGACACCAGAACTTACTGGGGGTTAGTAGGGAATAAGGGAACATACAAGATAATCCAGGGATGATGGACAAGAAAATGGAAACTACTATTCTTTATTAGGGTTAGTAGGGATAGGGGAATACAATCCCTACAAAATGCATTCCGTTATTCCCTACTAATTCCCAGTACCTGAAAGGCCACTTCTAATTTCTTTGCTTCTCTTTGGGTTTCCACTTCTTAGGTGAAGCGGACCTCTGCTGTGGAGCGCTTCCAATAGCACGGAGTGTTGTGAGCGGAGAACCATCCCAACTCCCAACCGCTTGGAGGATATCGGAAGACCTCAACCTTCTCTTCATTGCCGGCCGCATCTGTCCAAACGCAGCCACCCAGCTGGATGACAATGTGAGCTGCAAGTTCGTTTGCGAAGGCGAGGTCATAGAAAACCTGCTCGCCACAGTCACCACACTGATCCAAGATCGTTCCATTGCACCACACCAAGGAAAAGGGCTCCCTTTCTTCACTGTCCGCTTCCTGCTCTAGTCCTGTCACCTGCAGCACCATGCGGTGAATTACCGCCGTAAGGCACTCTGCATCCAGTTTCCGAAGAGGTTGGAGTGATGCACGCGTTGCAAGGAGGCGACACCGGACATGTGCATCGCACACACTTCGAAGGCACGCCGTCGCTGCCTCCTCCCAGCCCACGGAGGAAGTCTTACCAAGCTGCCGCAGCCAGCATATGTCTAATAGGTCCAGATAAACTGTGCCATGGCTATAAAAGCAGCGCTGCGCATCTATGAAGGCCATGGCGTGCACTTCTGGATGATTTCTCAACCCCAGCGCTGCGTGGGATCATTTGGTTTGTTTACAAAAGTTCTGTGTTGCAACCTGTGATTAACTCCGCCTCGCGGGGAAAAGCTCCAATTTCCTCACTGGAGCGCCTGCAGATGGCTGGCAGTTGCGCACGGATGCATGTAAAAGAGAGACCCATAGGTTGCTTAAACTTGCCATGATCACGGATGCACGGGGCACCGGAATTGGATTCTCCTAGCCCATCAGCGAAACTAGACGGGCTCAGCTCAAGAATCCGGATGAATTTCCCAAACATCCCTTTAGAAACTCTCAACCCCAAACCCTAAAAAATCCATACGCGCTGGGGACCTTCATTCTGTGAACTCTAACGGTTAGTTTTGGAGTTACTCAACTCACCCTCACAAAATCCTGAAGCTTGGACTCGAAGTTTTAAGCGCAACTTATTGGTTCTGAGTAAGGAATAAGGGAATATAGTATATAGGGACCTTATAGGAATTAAACATAGTATGAAAATCCCATATTCGCTACTAAGAACTGGTAATGGACGCCTCACCGTGAGCCCAAACTTTCTACATCATACCTAGACCTCCCAACACACGCATAACACTGGCCCAAAAGCCTTAAATCAGCGGAAGGCGAAGGCTATTTTATGTCATTATCATGGATATCCATGGATACATACATATATATATGTATGCATGTGTGTCTACATGTGGATGAATATATGTATTTATATACACATAAATATACATGCCATATACCGTGGGTATTTGGGAGGTCTAGTTGGGATATCCCCCACCAAGCGCCCGGCCCAGAACCTTGTCGTAAGCAAGCCGGCCGGCCCTGGCTGCCACATCCTGGGCCGAAGTTACCATGGTAATGAGCTTTATAGAGGTAATACAGGGTTCTAAAGGGAACATACTATATAGGTATAATATAGCTCCCATAAAGACAATTACAGGGAATGCACTTTACGGAAAAATGCGTACAATATACACATTTATGTGTATCACTAATGTATATATATATATAATTATATATGTTATACAAGTATAACGTAGTATACTGTAGAAATTCACAGGCCTCGAGGGCTTTGGGCTTAAGACTGCCGGCGTATGGGTGACCACATCGTCCAGACCCTGGTGTTGCTTCCGCCTTTTTAGCCTATATAACCCCAATGTAACCCCAATATATACCCTAAATAACCCCCATTATAGTAGTTTCCATTTTCTTTTCCATTATCCCAATATTTCCCTATATATACTAATTACTACTTGCAGGTCCTGTCCTAACTCATGTCAACTAATGAGGCTGAGCCCACATTCGTCAACAGCTCATTTCAAGTCAGCTCATCTGCACAAGTTATGACAGTACGGGATGCGCCGAGCATCGGGGGTGAGCCCCGCGTCGTAGCCTTCAGTCTCAGCTGCAATTTTGGCAGCCTCGGCCGCCTGCTCGAGGGCCATACCCGCCTGCAGACATGCCCAGAATCGACTGCATGGTTCTTGATGTGGTCTTGCCTCTTAATCATGCTCCTTCGGCGCACACGTTTGGTCTGTGGTCTATACGACCACTTCAGCTTCCAAAGCATCGCCCCAGAATCTGTCACCCTTAAACGAGATGTGTTAATTTCCGAAAATAGGGGGACCCGATATCCCCCAAAATACTACAAATCTTATTATAGCTCCCCAAAATGGAACCCCTAGTTTCGGGAAACCCGCATGTCCCTTCTGCTTGGCGCCGAGGCACTGCTTGCCCTGCAGCACCTGCCGCCGCACCAACCATTTTGGCAAGCAGCTCTGCTCGTATCCGGCATCTGAGCTCTATCGATGGTGCAAGTCACGGCTTGAATTTTGAATCAGATACAAACACAACAATAGCACAAAGCTGCCCTGCATCCTTCTAGAATGAACGCCATAGCTAAATGTATGTCCGGTGGTCGGCAGGACCATTAGTTGCAGCAAAGGTCTTAATATTGTAAATCGTCAACTCTGGCATTAATGCCTAGGGACTCTGATGCAACCACGGCAGCCGCTCGTCCGGCTTCCACCGCAACCTTCCATGCAGGCCCTCCCTCCTCATGACGCCCTAGCAGCTAAGTTTAAGCCCTATAACTTGCTGGTTCTTAGTAGGGAGGAAGGGAATATAATCCCTATGTAATATTGCCTCCACATTCCATACTAAGCCCCAGTAGCAAAGCAGAATGTCATGCCCTGCCTTCTCTGGTGACAAGCCGATTTGCTGCGCAGCGGCCCCCGCAGCACGTCCCGACAGCTGGACCTTTGCGCTCGCCTTCCAAAGTCCTCATCCGGTGTGGCTTAGCAGATTTTACATCTTGGGCGCAGTAACAGCCTAAGCTTTAAGTTTCCATTTTCTTATTCATTATCCCAATATAGCCCCAACAGCCGTGCCTGCTGCTTCTGAGGCTTTGCAAGCTGCTTGACCAGCAGCACTTGGAGCTATCTCGGGGGTCCTGAGAAAGCAGCAGACAGACTGCTTTGAGATGCGTGTCGCGTAGATGGCTCCTTCCCTCATCCACCAGGAAGTTGGCTGCAGCCTGTCAGCGGCTTTCCATATCTTGCCATCGTGCTTCACTTTGCTTCAGGTTGCTTCATCACCTTCCTATAATACCGCAGCCCCCTCTCTAACGATAAATCTTCCCCAAACCCTACACCTCAAACCGTAGAGGATGGTCTTAGTTTGGGATTCAGCCTGGCCGGCAGATTTGGCCGCAAGGTCGCCCAGCAGCTCCTCGTCGCTGGCCCCCGCCCAGGTGATGGCGCGAAACGCGGCGCGCCCAGCCCAAGCAGCCACTTCCTCGTAACCTAGGGAGATTCCCTAAACCCGAAACCCTGAGTTCCATGATGTCATGGCCGGGCAAGGCGCTGGCATGCTGGCGCGTCAATTTTTTTCCCCACAAACGATCTGAGCGCTTCAGAGTGCTGAACACCGGAGCTAGTCCGAAAAGAAGGCGTTCTTTTGCGTTTTGGGAGCTTTCCGGGCCGCCTCAGCTAGCCTCAGAACAGGACTTGCTGCCAATGCTGTCAAGAAGTTCAAGCAATGAACTACGGTGCTTGGCAAGCCGCGACCGCACTTCACCATCCGAAAGCTCCTCAGTTTCATTAAATAATAAGGGGATTCTGGTAACCCCAACCCCCAAAATTAGGACCATATAACCATCATATGATAGTCATAGGGTCCTAATATTGGGGGTTGGGGTTACCCAAATCCGTTGGGAGCAGGGCTCGGTACGCATGCCTGCCACAGACGACTTTCTGAAAACAGTCCAGGCATCCCATCCACAGGCACCGAGGTTCCTTAGGGGGCAACAGGCTTTACGGTTGAGTGCTAAGGGCAATATGGGGGAGTGTCAAAATTATGGTCCCTTTTTGGGTCCCCTAAATTAGGCCCCGTATTACAATAGGGACCCAAAAAGGGACCATAATTTTGACAATCCCCCATATAGAGATAATGGAAAAGAAAATGGAAACTATTTCCTTCTGATACGAGTCCACTATATGGCCTCGCCACCTACGAGCTGCAACCAAGTCTAAACTGCAGACCCCAAGTCGTCCAAGTTGCTCCAGCGCTTGCGCGCGGTTCCTTGCCCCAACAATGCTGCAGCCTCCACCCTCCGTCATGGCAAAGTTAAGTGCCACCTTGGACAAGAAAACAGGTTGCTGCTAAAGAGATTGAACTAAGTTACCCAAGTATGGGTATGCGGTACATAATTGGGGTTCCTGATTGGAGTAACTAAATTGAGGTTCCTTAACAGCAACCCAGAAAAGTGACTCAACATGTTGCCCAAAACGCAGAACACACTTTCTCGAATCTAGCATTGGGGGTACCCGAACCCTGCATCCCACAAATTCCTACCAATTAATCCTCTCACCCCAATACTAAAGCCCCCCCACCCCGCCTACAATGGGGAATATTTAATATTAGGGCGGGGTGGGGGGTTTAATGTTCGGGGGAGAGGATTAGTTCACTTTGGCAGGTGCAGTCAGGAAGCTTGAGCCATTGTTTTGCCCCGGCTGTCTCCGATCTCTTTCAGGAGGCCCAATAACTTTGTGGTGCCTTCAGCAAACTGGGTTATATAGGGTTTATTATAAGGATTATATTGGGGTTATATAGGAATAATGGAACTTTGTGCTGTTTTAAGGGCCATTGGGGTTACTGAGAGGTGACTAGTGTAGAAAGTCATATTGCGGACATGAACAGCTACCTCATGCCAGGGTCTATGATGGATCACACCAAATTAAGCAATTACTTTTCAACAAGATGAAAACCATGGACGCCCAAATAATTACCAGCCTTCATCGGAAAGTAGGGAGGAGAACAGCAACGATCGCAGAAAGTTGTCTGGCAGCTGTGCATCAGGACCTTAAAGGAGGACGTGTATCCATCCGCTTCATTCAGACTGGGCAGTTTGAGGAGTGATGCGCAGCAGTCATGACCTTCATTGAATTGTCAGGCTGTGGGTCAAAAGCCCGTTTGTCGCGGAGCCCCCCCCACCCCTTGTTACATACCCCTTTGTCGCACCCTGTTGCCACATACCCACGTCACCAGCACTTGGTCGGTACGGGCATGCTCCATAAGAGAAAACCTTGTTGCAAAGGTGCTTGTCGCAAGCCAGGAAATTTTGTTACAAGCCTATGTTGCGGAATAGCCGCTGAAACCTGCTACTAACCCCTAGTGTCTGAATCACTCAGGAATGTCCCTGCTTCATAACTTAATTCAAGTTCCTTAAATCCCTAGATTCCCCCAGTTTCCATTTCATTTTCCATTTTCTTTTTCATTTGATTCTCCATTATAGGGGGATAATCCCTTAATTTAACCAAGAAACCGGTCTTGTACTTTCCAGCGAGCACTCCAAGACACAAAGGGCTGTAGGCCACCAACCTCACGCCGAGCTCCTTGCAAACCTTGCTGCGGGGGGTGGGGGGGTGTGGGGGTGGGGGGGGGGGAATGTAGGGATTATATAGGGAATGTATTATATTGGGACTTATACGGGGTTTAAGTTTATCCCTAAGATAACTCCATGAAAAGTAGTTCCCAAGTCAGTTTTCATGTTTTGTCCCATATGATTCTCCATTATCTGGGTAGCATCCACATTATAGCCGTACATCATATATATATATAAATATATGCAATTATTTCTATACGTATATGTATACATATATATATATATACGCGTCCGCACTCCGCGTTCTCAGCTCCCCCCCAGGGTATGGTCCCCATCTGGGAATAAGCCATATCTATAACCTCTCAGAACCATGAACTCTCCGCAAAACTTCTCTAAGACCTTCTTTCAAACCTTCTATAAACCCTCAGCACAGGACCCAGACCACAGGACCACAGTGGGGGTGTGCGTTCATAAGCTTCCACTAAGGACTCTATAAAATCTTCATAAACCCTCTACGAACCTTCCCGAAAACTCTCTAACCTTTTGCAAACCGTCTCTAACAGATATAACCCCGTGTAAACCTTCTACAACTCTATACAAAAGCCTTCATAAACCCTCTAGAAACCATCCTTCTCTGTAAGATCTGTATAAGACCTCATCAAACCTTCAGAAACCCTCTAGAAACCAGAAACCCCATCAAAACATCTCGAGACCTCTAAACACCTGCTATTGAATTAATGAACCGTCTGCAAACCTTCTGTAAATCTTATAGAACTCCTCCATAAACACTATAAGCTTCCATAAACTTAATCTAAACCTCTCAATTAAACCACCAAACCAAGACCATAGGACAGGACCACAAGGGGGAGGGGGTTAGGTTAATCCTATTCTATATCATGGACATCATGGACCATTAGGGGGGGGGCAGGGGGGGGCCGTGAATGCTGACGCATATGTACGTATCTATGGCAGTTATGTACGTCCAGCGGCTACGCAGGTGCCCAGCACTTTATAAACCCAAAACCACACATTTTCCTCCCTTTTGAAAGGCCTCCACAGGCTTGTAGACATGGCGAATGTTATGATATGGATGCTTCCCAAATAATAGAGAATCGAATGGGCTACCATGCCTGAGGTCAAGCACGTCAAACAAGTACGAAAGCCAGTCTTCTGCTGGACTTCCCTTCCGTTCGCTGCATGCTGCCAAGCTCCAAACACCAAGTAGCACACCTTGCCCCCAAAGTTTTAAAGTAACCCTGAAACCCTAAACCCGATTTTCAAAGACTAGACCTCCATAATCTCTACAAAGCAAATCCTCAAAGTTGAGAAGGCCGCGTCTGGCATCTAATGGAGATAGTGCTGTCACATACGTTTTTGTGCGGAGCGCGTTTGTATTCACTCGAACTTGTGCAAATCTCAAAAATTCAGGGCTCCCAATATGCATATGCGAGCGTGATTATAGCATGGCTTCGGGTAATGATTCTGCTCTGCTGCCCTGGCAGGCGCAAGCTCAGATAGACATTAATTTCCAAGCACGAAGGAAAAATGCCAGGTCACCTCTGCTACACCAGACTCGCGCTCGGCTGACCTCATCTCAACGAAGCTTGTTGCACAACGCCTTCCCCACATAGAAGTGGGTGTTAATGCTGCAATAAGGTGCAATATAAGAATGCACATCGTTGGCTGTCCTGCACAAATACCAGCGACGTGCGCACTCGCCCGGTGCATCGAGTGGCAAGAGTGAGTACTGCACTTGATTCAAGACCTTGGCTGATAGCAGTGCAGCTGTAGCAAGGAGTATGGTGTTTTGTGGTCTGCAGAATGGCCAGCTTGAAACACCTATGTTTGAGCAAACCACGACCGACAATGATTGAAGAATTCCTAGTACTTCTGGTGCGAATTCTTGAGGGCAATAGGGTACCTCCTCTAATTAAACCAACACTATTTCCAACACTAGACAGACCAAACGCATGAGACGAAGCCTGATGCCAGTCCGATTCTTCTTTGCTGTTTCTGCTGCGTGGCCAGTGGCACGCCGCGCGTGTCGAAGATGGCCGCAGCACGACGGAGACCTGGCATTGCCGTTGAGAGGTTTCTCTTCCTAAGTGCCTAAAAACACACCGAAACAGTGATAATTGTTTGTAGTGATAGTAATCACCGTAATAATCGCAAGAATAATACTGAATTATCCCAACGATGCGGAAGCATTTGGAGAATGCCCCATGTTGTGTCGGAGCCTTTGGGCCCAAAGTTCGAGAGCCCCACAGCACTGCAAAGTCCAGCTTCGTAGCCTGAGCTCACAAGCAACGGAAACTCTGAGGAACCGGAGAAAAACAAATGTCCCAATATAGGGGTGAAATAGGGATTATATAGGGTTAATAGAGGGTTTAAGGTTTAGGGTGATATGGGGGTTTCCCAGCATTAGGGGTACCATTTTGGGGGCCCCAATAAACAGGATCCGCCGACCTTGGGGGGCGTGTTGGATGGTTGCCGAAGGCGGAGAGGGTGAAAACCCTCTTCCTTTCTCCCTTACAGCCCCAAAACGCGCGGGGGGGGGGGGG